CCAACTTCAACTTTTGAGAAGATGATATACAAGATTGGAATGCGGAGACTCAAATATTTGAAACAAGATTTTCATCAGGGGAGTAAAATACGCGATGTACTCTTTTTTTCTTTACTAAGGTTTTTTCCCACAGGGTTTTCCTAATAAGGTTTTTAATGAGGCAGCTAGCAATGTGTATTACTAAATATGTGTACTCTTTTTCCTTCACTAGAATTTTTTCCCACAGGATTTTTTCCTAGTAAGGTTTTAACGAGATACAATACCTTTTAATGAACATCCAATGGGGAGTGTTATGAAAATAATTATATTGTGGATGTCCATTTATTATTCCGCTATAGATAATCTTTCTGAAGAAGATTATCCATTTAGTACTCTGTTGAAGTTTATCTACAAGCAGCTGATGCAGGCAGGTTGCAAGCAGCTCAATGAAATAATTTGCAGCAGCTTCTTATTAAACAGGCAGGTTGCAAGCAGCTCATGCAGACAACTTACAAGCAGCTAAAGAAAAGCCTTGCAGCTGCTTCCTGAAAAGCCTCACAGCTGCTTCCTTTCTTCTATAAATAGAGGAGTTTTCAGTTCATTATGTACATAAGTTTAAAATTTGAATAATATATCAGTTTCTCTCGTCTTTACTTTATACTTTTTATTTTATAACATAACTTATGTTTTCTTTTGATATATTAGGAAAAAGACAAACAAAAAAAGATATATTAGGAAAAAAGAAAAATCAGAGAAGCGGTAGAATATTCTAACCCACTTCGTTTTTGGCGCCTAATTCCACCGTCCGAAGCGCCGGTGTTCACTTTTGCAGGTTAGGTTCTTCTCTGAGCCCTTTTCTGGGGTTTCCCTTAGAATTACTGGGTTTTTTGTTTGAGAACTGGGTTTGATTTTTGTTTCAACTTTTTGTGGTGAAAAGATAACGCAATAGAGACTCAGATATGGAGCCTACCTAGAGTGTCTGTGCGATTTATGGACAAACAATTGAAGTTAAAAATAGAAAGACGATAAATTATGAGAAATTGGGGATGGCATTCTCGGTAAATCAATCATGTGACGGATTTTCAAATACAACAGCAAAAAAGAGGAGGAAAGGGAGAAGAAAAAAGAGTAGGGCTCTGAGTTGTGATAATAATGTTTCTACAGAAGCAAAAATCAGTAATGATGATATGCAGGATGTATGTGTATATATGGAGCATAATAATAAGAGGAAAAAGAGGAGGAAAGCGAGAAGAAAAAGGAATACGGCTCTGAGTTGTGATAAATATGTTTCTACTGAAGCAAAAACCAGTAATGATAATATGCAGGATGTATGTATCGATGGTATCAGTAATGATGTTATGCTGGTTCTGGAGCAGAATAATAAAGGAATAAAGAGGAGAAAATTGAAAAGGAAGAAGCAGAGAGAGAATTATTGTGACATTAAAGGTCCTGAAGAGGAAGTTAAGATGGCAAGGTGTTCTCCATATTTCAAGAAAGTGCCTGACTGTGAGGAGAATGGAAGTAGTAAATCTGTTGAAGCTATTAATTCTGATTTATGTGTGAAGCCTATCAAGGCTGAGTGCGTGGAGGTTACTTTGGAAATGCATCAGAAGAGTAACAAAAGGAAGAAAAAGAGAAATGCTAAACGTGGTATCGCTGATACGAGAGCAGGAAATGGACTTGGTTCTACTTATGAAACAGATGCAAATCCAGATAAGAGGGAAATGGGTGTGAACCCCGTCCTGAATGGTCCTCCTAATACCAAGTGGGAAATGACAGGCAAAGATATTAATGAAAAGGATATTAAACAATCTGGTGATTTAGATGAGGGATGTACTACTGTTGCTTCGTTGCCGGTAACGCGTGGTGATAATGTTGTAGCTACTAGTATTGATGATCTCTTTTCACAGTTTGCATACAAAAGTGGAAACTTTAGTTCTGTTAAAAGAAGAACTGAAGATGACAAAGAATGCCATTGGGTCACACGTTTGTAGTCCTTTCTCTCATAGGATGAAAACAATCCAAAAGGCTTCGATATCTGGCTCTATGACTGGATCTGAGAGTCCTTGGGAAAGAAGGTAGCAGACCCTGCATATCTCAGAATCTGATGGATGAAACAATAATTGAGACAAAAAGAGTTTGTGTTTCAAATTGTGACAAGGTAAATGATGAATGCGTTGAACAGAAAGTACGAGTTGTTTCCCCCTACTTCGTGAGCTCAGAGAACGTAGAAACTGAAATGAAGAAAGGAAGGTCCCTAAAACGTGTGACGAAAAGAAATGGAAAATGTAACAAAAAGTCAGAAGCCAAAGTTCGAGTTATTTCCCCTTACTTTGTTAACTCAGAAGTGGGAGAAGAAATAAAGGCAGGGAAGGATAGACCAAATTCGCCTTCAAAGAGCTGCATCACTGGAAAAAAGGTTTCTCCCTACTTTCTTAATGCACATCGTGAAAAAGAGAATGCAGTGATCAGCATGGTAGGAGGTGGAACTGTCTCAAAAAACCCGAAACCTTGTCTCTTGGAGAATGGAGAAACCGAAATGAAGAAAGGAAGGACTCTAAAGTGTGTGAGGAAAAAAGATGAAAAAACTGACAAAAAATCACGAGCCAAAGTTCGAGTGGTTTCCCCTTACTTTGCTAACTCAGAAGTAGGAGAAGAAATAAAGGTAGGGAAGGATAGACCAAAGTCGCCCTCAAAGAAGTGCGTCACTGGGAGAAAGTTTTCTCCCTACTTCCATAATGCACATTGTGAAAAAGAGAATGCAGTGATCAGCACGATAGGAGGTGGAACAGACTCAAAAAAGCGGAAAAATTATCTCTCTGCTGCCCAGAAGAGAGACAAGGCTTATTTCAGGAGGACTGAAGCTAACACATGGATACCTCCCCGATCCCATTTTAGTCTGCTGCAAGAAGACCATGCTCATGATCCTTGGAGGGTGTTGTTTATCTGTATGCTTCTAAATTGCACCACTGGCTTGCAGGTAATTGTAGCCACTGTTCCCTTTCTTAATCATTCCTAAGCAGACAGCAAACTTATGGTTGTTCGTAAATAAAGTTGCCATGAAGTAGGGAGGTAAAATATTTGCATCGTCTTGTTCACATTGTAGGAATTGATTGAATTCTGTGTGGCATCACATTTATTTGGTATTATGGTTTGAAAGATGATGAGCTGAAATTTAAGCCGTCGCTGATTCTTGAGATGTTTGGTTTATATGGCTAGATAAAGTTTCCTGTATATTAAGTTACGGAACATGAACAAAAGGTGTATTCTTGGTCTTTTCTGGCATTGTTGTGCTCATAAGCCATGTTAATGCGTTTTATTCCTCATAATTACATTAGAAACAGTGAAAGCAGCATCCAATGGACAATTAGGAAGCAAACAATTTTTAGACCCAAAAAGGGTATTTTAGGCAGATTTCCATTCTCAAAAAGGGGATATATAGGCAGTTTATTAATAAAATTATTGTGTCAAAATATCAGCTATTTGACAAATGTAAATGCTTCTGATGTTCTGAATGCCTTTCCATGAGGGAACTACCGTCCCAGCAACATAATGGAACATAGGCAAGGATAGGGCCCAAACATCAAAACTGAAGTATCATTGGGATCTTTTTATTGTTTTGCATTAGTTTAAAAGTCCTATTTCATGAACAACGTGTAAGTTAAATACTTTGTCCAATTGAATTTATTTATAATGAAAAAGCATTAAATATCATGACAAAGTTTGTTACTCTCTCCATTTCAATTTATGTGGCACATTTTGACTTTACACGGAGGGTAAGAAAGAAATGAAGACTTTTGAAACTTGTGGTCTAAAACAAGCCTTAGACATTTCATATTTGTGTGGCTATAAATCATCTCATTAAGGGTAAAATTGAGTTTTTAAAGTTAAATTGTTTCTAAATATAGAAAAGTAACATGACAAATTAAAAAGTAAAGAGTATACCATAAATGGGGACAGAGGGAGTATTTCTTAGCCCACACATAATATGGAGCATGTCCTCCTTGAAGAACATTGTCAAACGTGCTTTGCCCCGTCTGACCAAACTTTGAAATTTATTTCACGATCAAAGATTGTTTTTAAACTTACTAAATAAGGCAATTTTGTATGGGGCAGCCAATAAACACTTAGCTGTGTTGAAAGGTAGCTTACTGTTTAGAACATGAGCATGATCCACCTTAACACTTGCTGGCATATATGGTATATTCATATTTTTTCTTCTCTGCTTTTTTTCTCCTAAAAGAAAAAAAGAAAGAAATTCTGACAGGGAAAGCAAGAAAGCAGCAAGAGAAAGTCTCTCTCTTTGATATCATTTGGCTTATTTTTCAATCATTTTACAGTGCACACGTAATACTTCTTTTTAGGGTTTAACAAGGAAGAAAAGTAGCTATCGTCAAACTCATCTTGACGAGAAGATGCTTGGACTAATAAGATGTGGACGTAGAAAAGATGAGGACTGGGTTGTACCTATCTACAAAAATGTACACCATAACAGCATAAAACCACAAAAATATGTTGAAAGCTTTAGGAAAGAAGATAGGATTACCTTAGCATTCCCCTTCTTCTGCAATTTGGTTGCTTGTTGACTAGAAGTGAACCGCGCAGATACTCCTGAAGAAGCATGAGAGCTATATAGTTATTGAGTCTTAAATTTGGTGTAATTGCTTTGTTCCCAGGATTCTACTTATAAGTATACTGAATATTATTTGAAAGAATATCTGAGTTCCGTTTCAGCTTCCCAGAGATGTTTGTTGGATATGGATTCCTACTAACACTTGCCCACAACGCACATAGGTTCGCAGAGTCCTATCAGAGTTTTTCACACTCTGTCCAAATGCAGCGGCTGCTACAGAGGTTGCTCCGGAGGATATTGAAAAGTTGATACGACCTTTAGGAATACATAGAAAGAGAGCACGGATGATTCAAAATCTCTCTAAAGAATATCTGGGAGAAAGTTGGACTCATGTGACACAACTACATGGTATTGGCAAGTAAGGGAATATATACAATGAGCTTTGCACTGTAGCACACAACTAATGGATTTTAACTTGTCATCACAAAAGAGAAACCGACTTGACAACTCTTTTGCTTCTCTTAACTTTCCAGGTATGCAGCTGATGCATATGCAATATTTTGTACGGGCAAGTGGCATCAAGTACATCCAGATGATCATATGCTAAACAAATACTGGGAATCCCTCCATGAACTTTAAGATATGGTTCCTTCTCAAGGTATTCATGGACTATAAGTTAATAGCAAAAAGCTCGATGCATAGTGTTATGGACAATAGGTCTCAGTAGTAGGTGGCACATTTTGGGGGTCAGTTACATCTTTTGAATTTTTACTACTATATTGGATGGCAAAGGGTGGGGCAGGGGCATTGTGGAGATTCTAATTTTTTAGCTGTTGTACTATGCAATTTTTGGGACTTTGTTTTGAAGTGACAAAAAAAACCATCCGACATTCTATAGAATTACTTTCTTGTGATTTTTTCTTTCTCTTTCTTTGTTACGTCTAACCAAATCTTCAGTATGAAGTACGATGAGCACGTTTTTTTTTTGTGTGTTGATATTTTCTTGGTTGATTCTGTGCATGCAAGTTAATATTAGGACCTGTTATTTACATGCACATTCAGCAGTAGATTCTTGAAAGCATGTATTTGAATTATTGTTTAAACAAAATTGAATTACTGTGTATTCTAAACCAACACCATTATGAACTCTGCGCGAATTAGCAATGTAATTGAAAAATAGTTTAAGGTGATATTAGTCAAGCGCTAAGCTCCTTCCTGGACCGCAATTTTCAACGGACCCAATGCGGCTAAATGCTCTCAATTCTTCGATTATCTGTTTCTTAGCTCCAGACATTTGTTTCTATCTGTTGTGCAATTTTCGAATTGGTTTTTTTTTTTTGAAATTGGTGTTACTCTTTTTAGGATGTCTAATTACTAGTTAGTACTCAATTGTATTTCTAGGTTAATAAATGATATTTTTCTTGAATTGGTTGAACATGCACTTTAGTTATTTGGGGATCTGGGTTTTTCTGATATAAGGATTGGATCTCCAACCAAAACTAACCTGTTCTATTTGAGTAGTCAGATTGCGAAGCTGTACTGGATTTGGGAGTACAGATATTGGGTTTGTGTTAGCAAGCTTAACATAAAGTAACAGTTGATTATAATTTTATCTGGCTTCTCATGCTGTTGCTTTTCTGGATAATTAGTGAATCCTATGATTCTATCTATTAGGCATGGTATCAATTATTAAGTGGGAAGGACCTTTTCTACGTGGTGTTGATATGGTCACTCTTTATGATTTGCTAAAAGAAGGTATGGTCAGTTTAGCTTTTGCATTATAAGTTAATTGGTAAATTTATCAGCCATATTGCAAGTGGTACTGTGTTTGCAGTAGATATTTCTAATAGTTGGAAGAACTTCTCATTCTTCTGAACAGTTAATATAGGTATATATTGGTTCATGAGCCTATTGTTTATATGAAATGCATCAACTAACCTACTTGAGTAGATTATTAGATATTTCGTCGCAGCATATCAACTTTTAAGACGCAGAGTGTCAATAGCCTGGTTGCCTATCTTTTGATAGTGAACCAACTTATTCAGATTTGAAGATTCGCTTCTTGTTTTTAAAGCATGTGATAGATCTATACGTAGTCGATAATTGGTGTATCTCCGGGCAGTTATGTGATTTGACTCTACCAATCTCCCTTCCCTCCCATCATGGACTTAGATAGTAGAAATATCAAGTTTGTAGAACTTATGATACTTGTAGTCAGAAAGAGCTTGATTTAAGAGTAAACGAAAATAGTTGTAAGAATGTTAGCAGGAAGAAATCCATGTGCATAGCATATCATATCTTAGTATGTACCACAACATCATTCAACTTCTCAGCTGAAAAAAGATATAGTCTCTTCCTGGCTTTTATGTATTTGGCCAACTATATATAAGGAAACTAGGATATCCCTAATTGTGTGCTTGTGGAGCTTTCATGTCAAGAAGCAACACATACCTATCACTTTTGGAAGGTTTGGAACCTTTAGGATATTGTTTCCTTAGAGTTTGGATCTTGGTGGTCCTTTGAAGCATCAGGAATGTGCACCTCATACGACCTTACCTTCTGTTCTATAGGCTTGTACTATATCGTCGAGTTCTAAGGAGACAGGAACATTCACATCATCCATACACTAAAGGCTTGTATTTACTTAAGTTTGCAAATAAATTCTGGAGATTCTGTATGTTTCTTAAGTAAGTCTTATTAGATTAGCGCGCGCTCATTTACTTCTATAGCAAATGAATGTGTTTTGCTCCTGAACTCAAATAACAATTTTTAAATTGTTAGTCATGTTCTGTTTGAGCTTTTACTAAATGCTCTTATTTTGATACAATGACTGTGATGCACTTTTGTTGTCTCAGTATATTTGATTGGGCATTGTTTGTGTGAGTTAAAGGTACATAGATATGTTCATACCATCAGATCTTGAAAAGGTACTATGGGGGATTTGAAGCTTACAGAAAAGGTTCCTTTTATTTGCACTTGTCAAGATTATCCTCTTACAGCAATCCTTAACCATCCATATTATCCAACATTCATCTTTTGTTTCCTCTCGCTGTGCACTATTTGCGCCATGATGAACAAGTGGAGTTCTCATTCGCTTAGAGCTTTAATTATATGCTAGATGTTTGCAAGAATGGTTCCACCAGTAAGGACAAAAGAAAGGTAAGGCTTTTCAAAGCACTATCTGGCTGGTAAATTTGGCTCAATTTATCGCTTTCATTATTTCTCTGGGGATGACTCATTCCTTGACTAGAATTACTATAAGCCAACTCCCATTTCGACTGATGCTTGTTCTTACCAATATTGGTCCTCATTGNGGTCCTCATTATTGTGGTAACCTTTGCACTGAAATACTTTTATCACTATCATCCCTTTCCCGCTCGAAGTTAAGGGAGGGTAATGATATGAAATGTTGTAATCCTGTCAGCTGAGAGTAACTATTACTCGGGTTGATTACTATTGCTGGGCCTTTTCCTTCTGTTCTTCGTTTCATTCTGTTGTGCCANATGAAATGTTGTAAATCCTGTCAGCTGAGAGTAACTTATACTCGGGTAGATTACTATGCTGGTCCTTTTCCTTCTGTTCTTCGTTTCATTTTGTTGTGCCGTTTCTTTTTGGAAGTTTTTGTCCGTTTTTGTCATTCTAGGTTGTTATATTCTTCGTTTTTGGCCCTTAATTTGTAGAACATCCTTTTGGTTAATACCTTTTTTTGCTTCCTGTGAGTTCATAGACACAGGATAACCAGAATGATCACATAAATCATAGCAGTGCAATACATCTTAAATTCTTAATGGACAGACTATAAGAAGCCTTCTGAACAATGACCAGTATCCACGAGATAAGAGAGTTTAAGTTCTCAAGCCTGAAAACAATCAAAAGAAGAATAAAGGACAGACGTCAATAATTGAATTTGCCTAAACTTTATACTTTCATTAAGAGTGGAGAATATTAGAAGAACCCAAATCAAGGTTGAGTTGCTTTCTTTTGATTTGCATCAATAATCCACCTCCTTGGTTCCGTCAAAAAAGAATGGTCAGGTTACATTCTAAGCAGGAAATGAAAAGAAGGGTCTGGTAGATTTTGTAATAGCAGAGAATAAACTACAACGAGGAGGAGGAAAGTGGATAGTGCAAAGATGAATCTGAAGAGGCAAAATTGATTTTTAAATTTTCTTCTTGAGAGGTATAAATGATTTCAAGAATGTAAGAAGTGGCAAGGTAAGCCCCATCTGAAAACTTTTGATATCTGTACATAAATATCTCTTTAAATTTATTTTGCCTGTCTTTGATCAGGTGACAAGAAAATGGTAAAGGTATTGAACAATGAACATTGTCATTGAAGGTAATCATTTTCATAGACTGAAACTATTTTCTTTATATCTTAAGCACTCTATTCTACTGTCCCTTAGGCGTTGCTAAACTATAACCTTACAAGTTGTTGAGGTTTGCCTGTTGGTGAAAAGGGAAGACTCATTGTTCCACCATATTTGGGTTATATACAAGTCCTTGCTGAAAATGCACATCATTTAGACTTCCTTGTTGTGATTCCAACGCTCAAAAAGTTTCTGTGTTCATGCCTTTTGTCGATGCAGCTTTGGGAAATAGGCTAGGCCTCCAGTACCGCCAGACTCATGGCTCTAGTATGACATTGAATTGGCTGATATATGTGAATGATAAAGATTACATGCGGTTACTTCAGTCAAATCATTTTTGAGCTACAGCTGAAGTGAAGAATTTCAAGGATGAAAGCGATGTTGCCAACCCTTGCAGAGGTACTTATCTGAAGACTTTATATCTATATTGAAGCTGCATTTTAGACGGTAAGCAAAGCAGTTCTCACCTCCTGTGATGATATTAGCTTTGATAATTGAAGGCTTTGTTTTTGCCTTTGGGAGATGTTATATATATACATGATTGGCGACTTTGCATATTGACCTAAGGGAATTTTGGTGTTGGAGTTCATAAGATAAAACTTGCTGTTTCTTAGTCAGTGACTGGTTTTTTATATGTTTATTTATATGAGGTGTATCAATGGTTCCAGAAGAGTTTGTATGCTCTGAAATGAAGATCGACCCAGCAAGGGACTCAATAACATCTCCAAGCACCTATATCGAACTAGAGAGGAAAATGAGTTAATAAACCTCTCATAGAAATCAAATTAGCATATAAAATACTATTAATCTGCACTAATCTTAGGGTTCTCTCGAGGTGAAGCTCTGGACAATATATGTGAAATTAAGTACGATGGAAATGGGAAAGATTTACACGTTGATCGGAGATAGAGCTTTCAATAGCTTTTGCTTCTGTTTCTTATTTTTGTGGTTTTCTGAAGGCAAGCTCGGAATACCTTCGGGGAAGTAGTTTCCAACTCCCATCTGAATGTGGAAGAAGACCCAATTCCTCAAAATTCTGAACAGCGGATCTAGGGAAAGATGAAGAATGTGCTTGTACAGGCCAGCCTTAACAGCAGATTGAGCATAGCATTTATTGTTCTGGGGAAGCATGACGAATATGCTATGCTCAATCAGGCAAACTTGGCAGGCAGTTTGTTCAAGTGCCTTTTCCGTTGTATGCTTTAACAAGTAGAAAAGGTTTTTAATATAAATGTAACGAGCTAATTTGTTCCCAAGAGGAATTGCTTTATGTTCATTCATTCGTGAACTTCTTTGGGAAGCATGATAGGAATTGATTAAGATCCAGACAATTAATCAAGTGACTTTTGTATACTCTCCTACAAACTTTTGATCTTTTACGGCATATTAATTACTCCTCTCCTTTCAACTCCTGCATCTCTCCTCCTTTGTTTGTCGAGTGACCTTTTCTCGTGTTCACTTAATCATTAGCAATGACAGATAACGAAAGAGCAGCTTCCAAGCGGCAAAGAAGCAAAAGGTTCTATATATCTCGTTCTTTCTCAAAATAATTAACATCAATCGGTACTGTTTGCATTGTTGTACTATTAAACTCTTAATTATTCAGTACCCCGAACCAGTAGATAGACATGCATATCATTTTCCAGTTCTGATTAATTTTATGTGTATGATGAATTCGATTGTAGAGATGAAGTTGAAGCGACAAGTATTATTCGCCGCATATCTCGTAGAAGTCAAGGAATGCCACCAGAATTGAGTGATGGCCTCAGTGATAAAATTGACGCAAGGAAATTATCTAAAAAGTCTTCTACTTGTGAGGAGTTTTCGTGCGATGGTATGGTTAAAACAATAAGAAGTTTGAGAAGAAATGATCCTATTGGATACAACACTTATTGATCGGCAAGTTGATCTGGAAAGGTTAGAGTTGAACCCCAATGGAAGAACATGTTGAATTTTGACAAGATTAATGTGAACTAGTGCGAACATTTGAAGCCTCCTTTTAGGAAGAAATTGGTAGATGCATTTTTCATGCATTTACATTGCATGTTCACACTTAATATGATGTCATGCATGACATTATTAAGGCCATTTCTCTTCTATAAATAGCAAGGGTTTTGTTCATTTGTAAACATGTCTCACTTGCCTTCTTATCTCCTAAGACATTTGAATCTTCTTTCTCTCTTGTAGTATTTCACTTGTATTTTTGGAGTGAAATAAATTTGAGTTGATTGTGTCCGAGGACTAGTCAAAAATCAAATTTTGCCGAACCTCGTTAATTTCTGGTGTTCATTTTATTATTGTCTCATTTACTATTTATTAGCTACCTTTAGATATAGTNACGTGACTTTTAGTGATGGAGATATGGCCTTAATGTTATTAAGTTCACTTACCGATGAGTACGAGCACCTCGAAACTACTCTACTTCATGGGAATGATGAAGTGTCTCTCAAAGAAGTTTGTTCTGCCTTGTACAGCTATGAACAAAGAAAGAGAGAAAAACAAAAGAGTGGAGAAGGAGAAGCACTGGTCGTGAGAGATCGTTCTCAAAATCATATGAGAACAAAGAAAGGAAGATCCAAGTCAAGATCCAGACCCAGCAAAGATGAATGTGCTTTTTGCCGAGAAAAGGGGCATTGGAAGAAAGACTGTCCAAAGTTGAAAAACAAGGCCAAACCTAACAATGGAAAGGCTGTCATGGATTCAAATGTAGCTGATTGTGACGACTCTGATTTCTCGCTAGTTACAATTGAACCATTCAAACCATCTGACATATGGCTGATGGATTCAGCTTGTAGCTATCATATGCAGTGTTTTGGATAGCGTGTGGCGACAAATAGCGACGAGGGTCTGCTTCACTGAGGCGAGAGGCGCGCAGCGAAGCGCTTGCCTTTTTGATGTGAAGCGACAATTTATACAAAAACATAAAATATTATATACATATAACTAAAACTCAATAACAATAATATATTAATAATAAGAAGAAAAACAGAGCAAAAAAAAAAGGCTACTGCCTCTGGAAAACAGCAAAGAAAGAAGAAGAAAAATGAAGAAACTAACAGCAAAGAAAGAAGAAGAAAAACAGAGCAAAAAAAAAGGCTACTGCCTCTGGAAATCAGCAAAGAAAGAAGAAGAAAAATGAAGAAAGAAAGAAGAAAGAGCTGATCATTGAATGATTGAAGAAAGAAGAAAGAAGAAGAAAAAGAAAAAAGAAGAAGAAGTCGCTGCTGAAATAGAGGAAGAAGAAAGTAGAAGAAAAAAGGAGAAGAAGAAGAAAAGAAAAGAAAGTAACATACCTGGTGATGATGGCTGATGATGGAAGAAGAAGAAGAAGAAGATCGAAGGTCGCTGAAGGAGAACAAGAAGGTCGCTGCTCGCNAGAAGAAGAAGGTCGCTGCTCGTCGCTGAAGGAGAAAAGTGAAACCCAAGCCCTAATTTTGTGTTTTAATATTAATGCTGCCTTTTCTTCCGTTTTATTCAAAAAGCGACGCCTCGCAGCGCCTCTCGCTACACATGCAGAGGCGCTCGCCTTTTCTTCCTCGCAACGCAACAGACCAAAATAGCGATGCTGTCTCGCCTCGCGTCGCTACACGCTATTAGCGCTGTAGCGCTCGCTATTTACAACACTGATCATATGTGTCCCAACAAGGACTGGTTTGTTGATTTTCAAGAAGGAGAATGTGGAGTTATTCACACAGCAAATAACAATCCTCTTACCGCA